CATTTCGGTATGTCATTTGGTATTGAAACTTGTCTTAATTGTGCAATAAAAAATTGTGGTTCACAGGCATTAACTACTGTACCGAATCGTCTTTTCATAGTTTCGATCTCGACAATGTAATGCAGATAAATATGAATGGATGTTCAGCACTTTTCTATACGCTTTAACATATCTTCACTTGATGAAGTTCAATCGAATAGAAGAAATGCTTATGGAACAATCGAATTACCTGATAAACCACAATTAATCATGTTTGACAATGAATCGTTCGACAAAACTCGGATTATTTTCAATGTATGAACTGGAATGCAGATAGTCAATGTGCGAGTGACTTAGATTATCGATGTCTCAATTTTCATGAAAATGGAAGAGAAAGTTATTAATTTCAGAGGGTAGCGAATCTTTCTTCGTGATCTTTTCATTTTATAAATCGCAATACTCTAGAAAAGATGATTAGTGTCTGTTGAAGTTAAGACATCAAAAGACAATTACCAACACTAACCAACTACAATCGTGAATATCAACAACGTAAACATAAGCAACGAATAAACATGGAAGAGGTTATTAATTTCAGAGGGTATCGAATGTTTCTTCGTGAAGGACTCTTCACCTCTATGGGTATATGGAGTTCAGATGGTGATCGACAACAAAGTTACTTATTGAGATTCACTTTCAACAAGTCAATTATGGGAATAATTTGGATTGATTACTCTGAACCACGATCATTAATTCATGTCAATCAATGAACAATTCAATATTAGAACTATTTTGTGGACTCCGGAAACATGGCTCCAATGAATACATCACTTGAAACTCATTTGTACAATTAGACATTTGTTTGTCTGTTTGAAAGAAGATTCAATGAATAATACATAAATTACATAGGCATTAGTAATCCATATACTTTCAATCTTAGTCTCTACGCATAAAAGTGACATAAGTAATGTTTCTCTGTATGTATAGAATTCATTGTCAAATCCACATTGCTGTTTCTCTTGTTGTTGTTGTTTTTATATTTTATAACTTTTAATTCCGTCTTACATTGTTCCATTCACTCCCATTCCACTCTCTTGTATATTGTTTTGTACTACTTATTTACTTATTTACTCCGCCTGGAGTCTCTCCGAGGGCTACTGCCGGTCCCAAGCCCGGATAAAGGAGGAGGGTTGGACATGGGGTTAGCGTCCCCATCCCGTAGAAAACTAGCTCGCCAAAAAACGCTAACCATAAAAAATTATTCAAACCTTTTAAACTCTGCCCCGGGAGTCAGAAGGTCTTCATTTAGTAGAACTATGACGCCTCATGATGAAAGCCGAATTCCTTCGGAAGTTACGAGGCCGATGCCCCTTCTGACAACCAAAGCGAACATTTATTTAGGTACATGGAATGTTTGTGCAATGTGGGACACCGGGAGAGCCCTCCAAATCGCTGCAGAAATGAGGAGTTACAACCTAGAGGTACTTGGGATCAGTGAAACACATTGACAAAAGTTGGACAACAACGGCTAACTTCAGGAGAGCTTCTTTTATACTCCGGCCATGAAGAAAAAAATGCACCACATACACAAGGAGTTGCATTGATGCTGTCCAAACGAGCACAAAATGGACTTATAGGATAGGAATCTCATGGACCAAGGATCATCAAAGCCTCATTCAAAACAAAGAAAGAGGGGATTACAATGGACGTCATCCAATGCTATGCGCCTACCAACGATTACAATGAAGACGCTGAAGATCAATTCTACGATAGACTGCAGTCAATCGTCGAGAAGTGCCCAACAAAGAACCTTTCTTCAGGACACTAACAAACTCAACGAATTCAAGATAATCCTCAGCAACAAATCCCAGGCCTTTCATGATCTACTCAATGGCGAAGGAACTACTGTGGAGAGCAACTGGAAGGAGATCAAAGAGGCAATCACTTCAACATGTCATGAGGTCCT